GGACAGATTCTGGGGGTTTGGAAAAGGTATGTGAAGGCCTTGGGAGAGCTAGGTTGTAGCTTGAGCACTGCCATTGAATTGCCTTAAGTTTCCTCACCTCTAAAATGGGGCTATTTTAAAGCTTTCTCAGCTTGCCAAGTAAGGTTTTATCTATGCAGATGTCAAGACAGAATGTAGGTGTTCAGGGGGCAGGAGGAAGCAGGCAGGAAGCCCACTTCCTTTCTAGGGTATGTTCAGCAGGCATCCCTCTGTGTTCAAGTCCTCGTGACCCTTAAAGATGTCCTTAGCATCCTTATGTTCCCCTCCACACATGTGCCAGCAGCAGCGTCACCTCATACCACTGCTGTCTCCAAATGGGAAATGGAAACTTTGGGGGTTTGCAGAAAATATTTATAAACTTAAGTCCAAGGATCCTGGGAGTGTAGCTCAGTGGTAGAGTATATGCTTAGTACGAAAGCATGGGTTCAACCCCCCACTGGAAAAATAACTAAATAAAACTAAGGTTAAGGGCCTGGCAGGATGACAGCCGAAGCTGACAATCCAAGTTCAATCTCCAGGATCCACATGGTGGGAGGAGCAAAAAGCTCCTGCAAGCTGTCCTTGACTTCCACAGGAATCCTGGGGCACAGGTACACCCCGAAGAGATACATAGATAGGTGATACATAGGTAGATACTTTTAAAAGTTTAAGTCCAGGCTGGAAAGATGGCTCAACGGTTAAGAGAGCTTGCTGTTCTTTTTAAAAATATATATATGTATATATATATTATTTATTTTATGTGTATGAGTGTATTGCCTGCATGTATGTAAGTGTACCCGTGTCGTGCAGTGCCCACGGAGGTCAGAAGAGGCCGTCAGACCCACTGGAGCTGGAGCTACCGATGGTTGTTAGCTGGGAACTGAACCTGGGTCCTTTGTAAGAGCAGACAGTGCTTTTAACCTCTGAGTCATCTCTAGCTTCAAGAGAGTTTGCTCTTCTTTCAAAGGACCTGAGTTCAGATCCTAGCACCTAAGGCAGGAGACTCACAACTGTCTGTAATTCCAGCTCCAAGGTATCTGACACCCTCTCCTGACCTCCACAGGCACCTGCACACACACACACACACACACACACACACATAAATAAAAAAAAAATTTAAGTTCTTTTTTGGGGGGGGACACTGTGCCAGCTAATCTGGCACTCTATGTAGACTGGGCTGGTCTTGATCTCACAGAGATCCACCTGCCTCTGCCTTGCAAGTGCTGGGATTAAAGGTGTGAGCTATCATGCCTGGCAGCTAAAAAGAAAAAAGTAATATGTATGCATGTATTGTCTGCATGTGTGTAAGTGCACCTGTGTGGTACAATGCCCAAGGAGGTCAGAAGAGGGCATCAGATCCCCTGAACTTGGATGGTTCTTAGCTGCCATGTGGGTGCTAGGACTCAACCTGGGTCCTTTGCAAGAACATCCAGTGGAGCTAACCACTGAACCAGCCCTCCAGAAAATGTCTTAAAAGTGAAAAAAAAGCCAGGTGTGGTAGTGCCTGCCTTTAGTCCCATTACTGACAGGCAGATCTCCGTGAGTCCAAGGCCAGCGTGGCCTATATGGTAAGTCCCGGGCCAGCTGGGGCTCCATAGTGAGACCCCGTCTTAAAAAAAAATAAAAGTAAGTTCTCATAGGCACCCCTAGCAGGGAGGAACCACCACATGACCAGATGGCCGGAGATGCCAGGGCTCAACCTGCCTAGCTTCTCACAAGAGGGGGAAAGATTGCCCAGTAGGCCAGGTCAGTTTTCAGCAAAGGAATCTCGGGCTTCCACTGGACCTACTCTCTCCTGCTGCAGGCCACCTGCTGCTTCCTTGGTGCCCAGGCTACCCCAGAATCAGCCTCCCCTAGGTGTAACAGCTGAGACCCTTAGGGACACAGGGTAAAGGAGCAGATAAGGAGAGAAGGGGCCCCTCTCACTTCCCTCCTCCCCACCGCCCCTCCCCATTTCCTGCCTTTCTCCCCTCAGCCTGGACTCTCACTTCTTTATTCCTTTCAGCTTTAGTCTCAGGAGATGGAGGCCCCTGAGGCCCACTCAGGTTTTACCTAGGCTTGCAACAAAGATCTTGAACCCTACAAGGGAAGTTCAGGGGAATCCCCTTTACCATCTGGCATGTAAATAAGACTGAATAAATGAAGCCCTGGAAAGTAGGTGTGGCAGAAGCTGGGTTACCAGCGAAGGCCTGGGTTCTGGGGAGCAAGATCAGGAGTCAAGACTTAATCAGGGACCACCGGGGTTGTTGCTCACTGGTAAAGGATTTAAATGCCTAGCATGTGTGAGGCCCCAGTTCCATCCTTAGCACCATTTTCCCCCTCAAAAACACTTAATCAGTGAGTTTTAGAGCACCCCCAGAGGTGCTGTGCCTTTTAGACAGATCTGGACTCAAGTTCAAATGAGATTGGCTCCAGGATTTATCACCTTGGACAAGTCATTTTCTTCCTCAGTCAGATGGGAATAATTATTACCCAGTATCACTGAGACCACAAGTAAAAAACAAAAACAAAAACAAAAAAAACCATGTATAGAAGAGGGCACCATCCAAACAGCTCCCAACAGGGATTCATAGCACCTCTCCACAATCCTTGGGGGCTTCATTCTGCTTACCTGCTGTCTTTCACTAGTGACCCTCGTCCCTCCTGGAGTGCTACAAATAACCCAGCTGGTAGTTTCTTCATTCAAATCCCAAAACATGAGGTCTTAAGAGACCAGAAATAACCCAGTTCAATCTTCTCACTTGAAACAAGGAGCCTGAGCCCAGAGAGAACAGGAGTGGACTCAAAGCTAATCCCATGTTCCCTCATTTTCACAGAAGCCCACAGCCCCTTCCGGAATCTCACTGGGTCCCAAGGCTTCACAGAGCCCACAGCAGTATCTGCCACCTTCTGAAACCCACATCCATCCCACTCACTCAGCTCCTGTCTCTTGTCTCAATCTTTTGTGTCTAAGTTTTCAGACAGGGTGCCAGGTAGGCCAGGCAGGCCTCAAACTCATTATATAGCTCAGGCTAGCCTTGAATTCCTGATCCTCCTTCTCCATCCTCCAGGTGCTGGGATGACAGGCATTCAAACTTTAAAACAAAATACTTCAACCATTTATATAATAGTTGTTAGTGTTGACTATTATTTTTTTTAACAGGGGTCTTGCTCTGTAGCCCAGGCTGTCCTTGAACTCACAGCAACCCTCCTGCCTCAGCCTCCCAAAGCATTGGGATTATAGGTATGAGCCATTACACCTAGATTTTTTTTCTTTCTTTCTTTCTTTCTTTCTTTCTTTCTTTCTTTCTTTCTTTCTTTCTTTCTTTCTTTCTTTCTTCCTTTCTTTCTTTTTTCAGACAGGGTCTCCCTGTAGTCCCAGCAGACCTGGAACTCACTATGTAGATCAAGCTGGCCTCCATCTTACAGAGATCTGCCTCTGCCTCCAGAGCATGGGGATCAAAGACATGTGCCACCATGCCTGGCCTATCATTGACTCTGTTAAAACAGGGGTTCTTTTTGTTCTTGTTTTTGTTTTGGATTTTTTGAGACAGGGTCTTACTATGTAGCCCTGTCAGGTTGACCTCAAACTCACAAAGATCTACTTGCCTCTGCTTCCCAAGTGCTGGGACCAAAGACATGTTAAAATATGCTATTTGCCATCATGGTGATGCGCATTTGTAATCCTAGCACTTAGGAGGCTGAGACAGGAGGAGCATGAGTTTAAGGCCAGCCTTGGCAACACAGACTATATTTCAAAATAAATAAGGCAGACCCAGGGGGAGGACCAGTCCTGACAGGGAATAGTGCAGTGCTCAGGCCTTATCAGAGAAGTTTTATTGTGCAGTGGATGGCAGTTAATGCAGAACCTCATAACTGACCAAGTGATAAGTGACTATGGAGTGGTCAGCAACAAATGGGACATCTATGTCACACCCTTTCCCAAGGCTCAGGGACCACAGAGGAAGAGGGGGCGGAAAGACTGTAGCACCAGAGGTCAGCGAGAACAGGAGCAAAACAGTGTCTTCTGGCTACAACAAGACCATTGCACTCATGGACTCACAGCACCTGTGGTTGCTACATGAGATCTGCACAAGATAAAGCCAGTTGACATTCTAGCATGGAGTGGGAAGGGGTTCCTAGGCAGCCCCCAACTGAGGAGCAATGGACAGTTGATGGTTTGGGGGAGGGAGAATTGGCTTTTCTAAAGGGTGGGGCTCCTGGTGGGTTGCCCATGCTCCAGTGGATGGCTATACACCCAGAAATATATAGACAACACAAATTTTGTGTTATGAAATATAAAAAAGTATTTTATTTTTATTTTAGTGTATGAGTATATTGCCTGCATGTCTGTGTTTCCCTGCGGAGGTCAAAAGGTGTTGGATTTCCCTGGAACTGGAGTTACAGATGGTTGTTAGCCACCATGTGGGTTCCGGGAATTGAACCCAGGTTCTCTGCAAGAGCAGCCAGTGCTCTTAACCGCTGAGCCATCTCTCTAGCCCCATGTGTTATTAAAAAATTTTTTAAAAAGGACAAGAAGTTGAGGGCAGAGCTGGGGGAAGTTAAGGGAAAGAGCTGGGGGTGAATATGAACAAAATACATTGTGTAGAATTCTCAAAGAATGGATAAAACATTTTTAATAAAATAAAAGGTAAAAATAGGGTTATTATTGCATTCGATCCTCCAGCAACTTTTTTGTTAAAGGCTCAGAGATTCAGCTACAGGTCTGGGGTCTCAGACTTGTTAAATGAAACCAAGATTCCCTGCCCAACATGCAGGACTCCAAGCCCAGGGCCCTGCTTCCTGCCTTCCACTACCCCCATAGGCTTGTTTATCCCTCATCCCCCAGGACCGAGAACTCAGATCTCATCTACCAGGCCTTGGAACCTGGGGCTGGTTTTATCCACCCTCAGGTCTGAAAAAAAGTAAGTGCTCCTCCCCTCCTTCCTCCCTCTACCCCTCCCTATCTCCCCTGCCTCTTAGTTCAAAAGCAGCCAAGCTGAAAGAGGCCTACAGATAGCCCTGAACTCAACTCCCAAAGCTGCTACAGAACCCAAGCAGATCCAGGATGAACAGCTTCCTCTTCCTCCTCACCATCAGCCTCCTGGTTATAGTTCAGGTAAGAGCAGTCCTGGGAGCCCCTGTCACCACCACTAGATCTGCACTGTTTGACTTGGCTGGGGTGGGGAGAGGGAATGCAGTTTCCTGGGGCTTAGGCTCCTTCTATGGGGACAGAGATGGATATCAAACCAGAGATGTAAGAGGGCCTCAATGCCTGGCTTCCAGCCTTCTTAGCTGTCAGGCTGCTTCTGGGCTGCCCAAGAAGCCTGTGTTTCCATATGGGGATCCTCACAGGGTGCCAGGTGTGTGGAGTACTGTGTAATACTGGGTCCTGAAGAAGTGTCGGGAGAGGGCCTGTTTCGGGTAGCTGAAGAAATGGTCCTTTTGGTAGGGGTAAGGAAATGCTCTGCTGCTGGCTGGAGGCGGCAGGGGACGGCCCAACCCCTGCTCCTGCTCCTGGCTATGTGGAACCACCAAGACAGAAGTTTCCCACTCACTCTCAAAAGCAGCTACCATTCTGGGGGGCAATTGTGGTGACACCCGTGTACCCAGAGTGGCCTGGTTAATAGAGGAGACAGGAGCCATCAAGTTCGTGATCAAGGACAGCTTGATCAAGCATCAAGGGCAGTTTGATTACTAGCAAAACCAGTTTCACTCCCATCTAGAGTAGCTTCAGTTACAGCTCAATCAAGCATCAAGGACAGCTTGTCATATCTGGCTGTTTCCACCGCCCCATCCTCCCACCCTCACCTTTCCAGGGGCCTTTTCATTCAGCTCTGTCTCACGTGATACTTCCAACCTTAATAGACTCTTCTCAACAGTCAGAAGTCCAGGAAATTGAGGCTCGGGGAGGGTAAGGTCTTCCCAGGGTTAATAAGGTCAAGGACTGGGACTTCTGTGTTCCCCTCTCTGCCAGGTGAGCTGGTGGCCTGAGAGGGGTTGGAGGGGCCGAAGGAGGAGGAGAGGGACAGCTCTGTCTCTGTCTGTGACAGGGCAAACAGCAGTCAAACTTCTCAACAGTACTTATGACAGAAGTTTCATGGAGGCCTAGAGTTGGGGGAGTCAGGGTCTGTAACATGCACTTCAAATCCCCCTGAGCACTGAACTTCTCTTGCAGCTACAAACTGGAGTCTTGGGAAGCCAGAATGCTACCGAAAAGGCTGTTACCACTGTCAAGATCATCACCCACTCGAGGACCAGGGAAACTGTCATGAATAGTGGGGCGTCAGCTCTCAGTGATGTGGGTGGCGGCAGTTTCCTTTTCTTCTTGGCCAACACCCTATTCTTCTTCTTCTACCTCAGCTAAGGTGATGGTGTCACCTCTAGCCCTATGCCCCTAAAACAGCTGCTACCATCAGTAGTCAGGGACGTCTCCATCCAGTCCTTGAGAGGGATAGACACCAGAGATGCCAGAAAATTGACAGGCACTGTGGTAGGGGCAATGGCCAGAAGGGAGGTACTAATGGGAAGGAACACGTAACACCCAGCTGGGGCTCAATAAAGTTATGCTTATGCTTAGATGGGGCCTCATGTGTGGTTACTGGTCATTACTGGCCCCATGAGTCATGTGTACAGCAATACCAGGTGCTTTCTGCAGCCACCTTCAGGGAAGGTGGTACAAAGGCACTCCTCCAGTTTTCTAACCCTGAACTTCATGTAGAGAACCCTCCTTAGAATCACCTTGCAGAGACAACTAGAAACTCACCCTTTATCTGTATTTGTTTCACTTGTCCCTTAGTGTTTGGGGGTGATGGCCCCAATTCCACCTCCATATCTTAGGCCCTAGACAACCCCAGGCATCCCTCCATCCCAAAACCTAGATGTCTTTAGAATGATCAATTCAAGGAGGTTCTAGATCATTCGGCCCCGTCTCATGCCAAACTCCCAACCAGAGTATCCCAGGCCCAGGAATACCTCCAGGTCTGGGAAGATTCCCAGAAGAACAGATCACAAAGCCATCTGTCTGTCCATCTTTGATTTCGGGATCTGGAGGATGAGGAGGCAGGTGCCACTTCCACCCACACTGTGGGCAGGGAAGGCAGGACAGACAAGCAGTCACTTTAACCATCCTTACCCTTCTGGGCTTGGGACTGGTGTTTAGACCTGCAGAGAGAGAATGGAACCCAGAGAGTGGTCCCCAAGGGCCCGCCTGCCTCTGTGTCTTCCCAGGGACTTGAGCCAACAAGGACTGAGAAATAGTTGTTCTAAGTCTGGGAGAAAGAGCACTGCCCTTCTCCTGTGTCCTGACCTGTCCTTGCTAGGAACCCAGGCCCTTGTCCTGATTTTTCTGACCAAGGCCAAACCTTAAGGATTTGAGATTAGAATTAGAAGTGGCAAGAAGCCCTGGGGACAAAGCTCCTTGGGGCGTGGCTCTTGCTTATCTCCTCTGTCAGGCCAGATGTAGTCCCACACACTGAACCTCCTCCATGTTTTCACCCTTGGACACGTCTGTGTCTGCATCCCTGTAACTCTTTGCCACTTTGAGCCTGGCCAACTCCTTCCCATCCTGCACGTCAGCAGGGGTGGGTGGTCCAGCCCTCCGCTTCTGTTTCACTGAAGCCACTGACCAATCACTCACCCACTGGAATCTGCCACTGGATTGTGTGGGAACCACAATGGCTTCGCTGATGGCTATATCCTGACCCCTCACCTCCAGCCAGAGGGCTAGAATTGACTCAACAGGCTCGAGCACAAGCACCTGAGTGACTTACCACTTAGTCTGGTCACGGAGCTCCCTCTGGTGGCAGGGGGAGGCCTTACACCTTACATCTCACCACCATCACAAATAAAACCCAGCAGTTAGCCTGGGCAGGGGTTGAAGAACAATGGTCTGTCTTCACCCCCAACTCAATATCAAGGTGCACAGAGAAAAGGACACTAGGCAGCATATTAGAAAATAGCTTATGTTACAACAAAAACCTATAAAAACATTTCATCCCAGGAAAAGCCTCCAGGGCTGGGGGAAAAAGGTGGTTCAAAGTACATGGACAGTCCAGATCTGGGAAGGCCTCTCCTTGGTTGGTTCCCATAGCACCACATGGTCCCGGTCATAGCCTCGGCCACCTGGTGGGAGGAAGTATTCAGAGGAGATTAGAGTACTGGGGACAAAGCTCTTCTTGGTCCCCTTGGGTGCCTCCGCCCCCCTCCCAACACCCCCAGGCTACATTACCCTTTACATCCAGGATCCGGCCTTCGAACATCTGGCTGCAGATGTGACCTAGTTCATTGATGCTCCACATTTGGCGTGGCAGGCGGCTTTCAGCCCACAGCACAACCTTGGAGCCTGGGCTAGGAGGTCCAATCACCTGCAGGCTCATGGTGGGGGCCACCTGAAGCCCCAGAAGACAGTTTGACACTGCTTTTCCCACAGGAGAGCTCCCATGCCCAAGCCACTGTCATGCTCTGGGTCGAATACTGGTTCTCACGATTGTGATGCTAGGAAGTTCCTTCATCCTTTCAAGCTTCCCTTTCTTAAGGTTGGGAATCGCCAAATACTAGTTTTTTAGGGTTTAACATGGGAGGGGGAATTAAAGGGCTAATATTTTCCTTTTTGTTTGTTTCTGGGTTTTTTTTGTTTGTTTTCCTTTTTTTTTCTTTTTGAGACAGGGTCTCCCTGTAGCCCCAGCTGTCCTGGAACTCACTATGTAGACCAGGCTGGCCTTGAACTCACGGAGATCTGCCTGCCTTTGCCTCCCGAGTGCTTGGATTAAAGGCATGTACCACCACGCCTGGCTGTTTTCCTTTTTTGAGTTGGGGTCTCACTGTGTAGCTATGGCTGGCCTAGAACTCTCTATGTAGACCAGGCTGGCCTTGAACTCACAGAGATCTTCCTGCCTCTGCCTCTTCAGTGCCTGGCTAAGAGCTACTACTTTCCAGACTTTCATTCTCTACCACCTCAGGGTTCCATGGGTCTTGCTCCTGACTGGGCTGGAGCTTCCCAAGGCAGGTTTGCAGACCTGGGGGTTGGCAGTCTCTGCCCAGCTCCAGAATCATACCTGGTTCTTCAGTAGCCCATCTTCATAGTACCAAATGCAACTGCCTCCAGCTCGGGGCTCAGAGACCACCACACGGCCTGCCTTCATGTCCTCCACATGGTCTGGCACTGCCAGGAATCCCCCTAGTGCTGCATTCCAGAGGCGGAAATAGGCTCGGCGCTGGTGATAAGGAAAGACCGAGAGTCACAGGTCTGCAGCCACTAATGCCTCACCATGCTCCATTCCAGACCCTCTAGGACCACCCTCTCAAGCCCTCTTTGCCTCCAAACTTTCCCCAATGCTGCTTCTAAGTCACTGCTCTCTCCACACTCAGACTGAGGGCACACACGTGCATAGTTCCATGACCACGCAGTCATGTACAGAGGGACCCTGACAGATACACTCACAGCCCACAAGGTGGCACACTTCACAGAAGACACAAACACAGTTCCACAGTTCCATTCTGTCATTAGATTCACACATTCCAACATACAAAGATTCCCGCCAGCCTGATGCACTTCAGCTGAGTAAAAATACAGATGTCCTGGCACATGCACGAGCACACACATGCACACTCACACGCACATGCTGAAGAGAAATGCAGTGACATTAGATATCACCAGAATCGGCTCTGCCAAAGTCAGCCTAGGGGAGACGGTAATGGTAGTAATTGTGAGAACCACAACTAACATCTGTGGCGTGCATCCTGCTTGAGGACCACTCTAAGGGTTCTGCAGACATTACAGCTCTTCAGTCCTCAAAGAAACCCAGGAGACAGCATGCTATCTCCATTTTAAAGATGAGGAATCAGAGGTCCCTGAAGGGATAGTACTTGCCCAAGATTGCAGAACAAGTCCTTGTCCACTTCTCGGGGCCTTTATTTCCCCATCTGTAAAATGTGAGAGATGGAGGTAATCTCCAAGTTTCCTTCCAGCAATGCTGTCATGAGAGTCTGTGAACAAAGGGACTAAACACACACCCTCTTACACAGGTGCACACACTCAGCAGGCTCTCAGACACAGGCAAGAGCAGGCACGAAGACAGGATACTCCCACAGATGCAGGCACACACATGCACACACACACAGATCACCCCTAGAGTTCTCAGACACAAGACATCATGAGCATAGATATACTCTCAGATGGGCACATGCAGGTGCACAGACACAGTTACAGGCCACAGCTCTGCCCTGGAAATATACATGTGCAGAAATGAGGCTAATGTCTAGGCAAGCAGGTGCACAGACCTTCATGTGCAGACCCTGTGCCTGAACGAAGTGTGCTTACTATAGGTGAGTGGTGTGCACCTGATGATAATTTTCAGTTCTGTGAATAAACTCATCATATGTATACAATAGGCTTATGCTTTCATACGGACATTATTCCTTAGGACAAAGTAAAATGAAAACCAAAATAGTTGATTTAGAGAAAACTATTTAGATGATGATGCAAGAAGAGGTGGGGCTGAAGCTGTGACAGAAGTATACAAATGCTGAACTTGGGAAACAAGATGTACGCAGGGACGGGCACACACGGGGCAGGCCCATCCAGAGGCACTCATGCTGACTGCTACCTACCTGCTTGATGGGGTAGAGGGAGCCCACCCTCTGGGTACCACTGTAGGTCAGCCAGTTGGTGATCTCACAGCTGCCCACCAGCCACTGGCGGCCCCGGAAGTCGCTGTGCTCACATAGCACCCAACTGTGCCCAGCAGGTGCCAGAGACACAGAGAGGAAGACAGACAGGCAGACAGAGGGGAGGAAGAAGCACAGACATTAGAACAACCTCTACTTCCTTTTCTCTCACACTAGGGTAGAGTCTCCAGGAGGAGAGGGAAACTGGGAGTAGATTTGCAGGCAAAATAGGGTTCTGAGAATCCCACAAGGCTGGGATCCAGCCAAGCCCTGAGAGGTGGAGTCCCTCCTCAGTCTATACTTCTCCCTCCTCCATGGCTCGGGGTGGGGTCCCCATCCTACCACTCGCCCAGCCCCACTAGGAGCCCTGCACCGCACACTCACACGCCGCCCTTGATGCGCACAGACAACACGTGGTTGTTGAATCCCTTGGCCTGCAGGCTGCGCACCTCTCCATTCAGCTCGATCTCCTTCCCTTCGAAGCATTCCAGGCCGTACAGAAAAAGAGCAGGCTCTGAAAAGTGCTGGAACCAATAGAAGATAGGTAAGGCCACAAAAGCCCGAGCAGGCCCAGACTGTCGAGCACTCTGGGTCCTATCCAGACCCCAGATCTGTCCTGCAGGCCTCCTAGCTTCTGGGGACATTCACTGCCAGCAGTGTCCCCAGAGTCTCAGTCCCAGCATGGTTAGACTGGCACCAACTTCTCCTCAAACATCCTTTCTGGTAAATGGCTTTTTTTTTTTTTTTTGGCATAAGCGTTTTGATTGTCTGTATGTGTGTAGTGCTTGTGAAGACTGGAAGAGGGAGGCAGAGCCACTGTGTGGATGCTAGGAATCGAACCCAGGTCCTCTGAAAGAACTACAAAGTGCTCTTAACCCCTGAGCTAACTTTCCAGACCCATAAATGGCACTTTTAACACTTTTTGTATTTATCATTTGATTATTTTTTAAAAATATTTTATTTATTTTTATTTTATGTGTATGAGTGTACTGCCTGCATGTATGTGAGTGCACCCGTGTCATGCAATGCCACAGAGGTCAGAAGAAGGCTTTGGATTCCCCTGGAACTGAAGTTAAGGATGGTTCGTAGCCTCCACGTGGGTGCTCAGAATCAAACCTGGGTCTTCTGCAAGGGCAGTCAGTGCTCTTAACTGTTGTGCCATCTCTCCAGCCCCTATTTGGTTATATTTTTTAAATTATTTATTATTTTTATTTTATGTGTATGAGTGTATTGCCTGCATGTATGTAAGTGCACCCATGTCATACAATATTCTTGGAGGTCAGAAGAGGGTGTCAGATCCTCTGGAACTGGAGTTACAGACAGATGTTAACTGCCATGTGGGTGCTGGGAATCAAAGCCGGGTATTCTGCAAGAGCAGCCAGTGATCTCGACTGCTGAGCCATCTCTCCAGCCCTTGACTGTATTTTTGAGCTAGGATTTTACTAAACCGTCCAAACTGACCAGGAATGTACTGTGTAGCAACAGGCTGGTCTTGTGCTTTAGCCTCCTGAGTCCTGGGATTGTAGGCATGCACCACCATACCTGGTTAGCTGGTAAATGGCACACCTAAGGACTAATGGCCAGGCTGGAAACCTGGGGCTCATTTTATATTCCCTTCTGCCCATCCTCAATGACGATATGGGTAACAGTCCACTGACTAATAGCCATGTTCCTTTATTCCTGCTCACTACAGGGCAGATCCTTGGTGGAGCATTCTGTCCCATCTCATTATAACTCCTTAACAACCTTGAGGTGGATGTTGTCATGGTCTCTATTCATTTGGGGTGGGGTTGGGGAACTGACCTGAGTCTTGAAAAGGTAAAACTGATGATGGCTCAAGACCCCAAAGCTGGGCTCCAGACCCAGGTCCAGTCATCCTCAGAGCCAAGTGTATGGTGCTAAAGGGCTCAAGCTGTATAGCCAGGCAGCCTGAGGGAGCATCTGCTCTGCCTGTGCTGTGCAACCTGGAGCAAGTCAGAGTGGCTGTATGCCCCCATCTAACAATGGTAATGTGCCTCACAGAATTGTGGGAAAGGTCACCCAGCATATGTCAGCTGTTCTGATCCTCCACGTCATGGTGCCCGTGTCATAGCGCCCATGTTACTTCCCTTTCTTCTCTCTGGGCTCAGCACATCACCTTCTACTCTGGGTCACTTGAGGCAGCCTTTCCCTGCCCTGCTCCTCATGCCTGTGCCACTTAAGAGTCATTTTCCCACTAGATCCTGGCAGCCTTCGCTGAACAGAGCATCACCTGGTCAGGGCTGCACCCTGCCTACTCAGTGTCACTCTCTCCCATCCCAGCATCACCTTAGATATGGGAACTACTCCACATTGTCATGTTCAGGTCCTGTGTCTGATTAGTTTGGTATCTCCCAGACCTATCTCAGTGGATGCTCAATAAACATCCAGTAAGTTGAGCTAGCTCAGAAGCCTCAAAATCAAGGGTACCTGGGAAAGTTCTGTAAACAATTTCACTTATCCAGACCAACAAGTTCCTGGTAAGATAGGGCTCTGTACACAGGACTCTCCTTCTGCCCCTGGGGTTGCCTGGGCCTGGACAGGGACTCACCAGGGGGACCTTCCGGAGAGAGCCCAGAACTGTGGAAGCCAGGCAGCCCATGGCTGTGAGAGTGGGGAACTCGCCCTCAGACAGAATGTGCTGGTCCCCCTCAAAATTCTTCTCATCAAACAGGATCCAGCTGGGAAGGAGAAAAGTAGGAAAGGTAAGCCATTAGCTGAGACTGTCAGATACCCTGAGAGTCCTCAGTGGGAGTGAACTTGATGGTGTTTTCCATCCAGGGAAGGTCCAAGATAGATAGGTACTGCAGCAATGGGTACTGAAGTCAGACATAAGAAAGGACTGAAAGAACTCACACTACCTTTAAAGGGGAATTTGGCAATATTACACAACACTCTGTAGGCAATTGATCTGCAAACCTCTGTCTAGGAGTCTCTCTCAGGGTCACCCTTCAAAAGCATGAAATACAGCAAGCAAGAGCCTATTTACTCAGCACTGTTTGCACCAGCAGAGTGGAGGGAACCCAAACATCCATCAATAGGGGACTGGCTGAGGCTGGGCCTGATGGCACTGGCATGTAATCCCACTTACTCCAGAGGCTGAGACAGGAGGATCACAAGTTCAAAGGCAGCCTACACTACAGAGTGAGTTCAAGACCAGCCTGGACAATTTAGTAAGAGCCTGTGTCTCAACATCTCTAAATAAAAAGTATGAACCAGTGAGATTTTTCAGTGGGTAAAAACACTCTCTGCCAAGCATGATATGCCTGGACAGCTTCAGTTATCAACCTGACGTACCTGAATAGAGGGAATCTCAACTGAGGAATTGTCACCACTGGATTGGCCTGTGGCCATGTCTGTGGGGCATTTTCTTGATTGTTAAGTGATAAAGGAGGGCCCAGCCCACTGTGGGTGGTGCTACATCTGGGCAGGTGGTCTTGCGTTGTATAAGAAAGTAGGCTGGGGCTAGAGAGTTGGCTCAGAGGTTAAGAGCACTGACTGCTCTTACAGAGGACCTGGGTTCAATACCCAGCACCTATATGGAGGCTAACAACCATCTGTAACTCCAGTTCCAGGGGTCCAACACCCTCCTCTGACCTCCATAGGCATTGTACAACATGGGTGCACTCATATACATGCAGGCAATACACTCACAGACATGAAATAAAAATAAAAGAAAGCAGGCTGAGCATAGACCAGGGGTGCAAGCCAGTAAGTAGCGTTCGTCCATGGTCTGTGCTTCAGCTCTTGCCTCCAGGTTTCTACCCTGAGTTCCTACCCTGAGTTCCCTCAGTGATGAACTGTAACCCAGGAGATATAAGATAAAATAAGCCCTTTCCTCCCTAAATTGGTTTTGGTCAGTGTTTTTATCACGGCAATAGAAAGTAACTAGGACACCTGGTGACTGGAGGCAGATCCCAGGAACCTACACGGAGAAAAAAAGACTCAGGAAAGTTGTCCTCTGACTGATTGCTCCACTCCTCCCTCCCCTACACACACACGCACACACACACACGCACACACACACACACACACACACACACACACATATATACTTATACTACATAAACTTTGGGGCATTCACCCATACACATACACACAGGCACACTAAATACATTTTTTAAAATGTAAAAGCAGGCCAGGCGTGGTGGCTCACACCTTTAATCCCAGCACTTGGGAGGCAAAGGCAGGTGGATCTCTGTGAGTTCAAGGCCAGCCTGGTCTACATAGTGAGTTCCAGGACAGCTGGGGCTATAGGGAGACCCTGTCTCAAAAAGACCCCCCCCCCAAAAAATGTAAAAGTAAAACCCAGGAATAGACGGGAGCTCTGTTCTCCCTACTGTAATGTGAGACATAAGAAGGAAGGAAACGGAAAAAAAGTCTGCTATTTAAGCCACAGTTTCTGACATCTTGTTAAATGAACCTGAGGTAAGCTAGGTTTTTTATGCGGTTACACTAAGTTCCTGGTCAGCTGGTGTGTGTGTGTGTGTGTGTGTGTGTGTGTGTGTGTGTGTGTGTATGCACTCTTAAATGAACCCAGCCTGTTGGAACCCCATTTGTGTCTTCAACTTGATAGATTTTGCTTAATAAAAAAGTCTTTTGTTGTTGAAGAGGCAGGATTTGTGTGTGGCCCTCTGGGTCTCTGTGGGACTCCCTTCCTTTCAAGGCCCTTCTTTTTCCTGTATTTCTGCACATGCTGAGCTGTATCTCATTAGATAAAACTTTTCATGCTGGGTGTGGTGGCACAAGCCTTTAGTCCAGCACTCTGGAAACAGAAAAGTGGGTCGCTGTGAGATCAAGGCCAGCCTGATCTACTTAGGGAGTTCCAGGCCAGCTGGAGTTATAGGGAGACCCTATCTTCAAAAACAAAAACAAAGAAACAAAATGTTTCAAACTATTTACTTAAATGTATACTCTTTTTATTTTATTTTATTTATTATTTTTATTTTATGTGTATGTGTGTATTGCCTGCGTGTAGGAAAGCGCACACATGTCGTGCAATGCCCCCGGAGGTCAGAAGAGGCTGTCGGATCCCCTGGGACCGGAGTTACAGACAGTTGTTAGCTGCCATGTGGGTGCTGGGATTTGAACCCAGGTCTTCTGCAAAAACAACCAATGTTCTTAACCGCTGAGCCATCTCTCCAGCCTCTTAAATGTCTACACTTAATAAAAAGTCAACTGTTGAAAAAAGAAAACAAAACAAAACCCAAAAACAGAATTAGGGCTTGGGAGTAAAGCTCAGTGGCAGAAAGTTTGCTCAACATATGTAAAGCCGTGGGACCAGTCCAACAAACACATATATAAAGTGTTTCTAAAAATTAAAAAAAAGATTAAATTTAATAAATTAATTTAACTATATTCCAGCTTCACTACATAATCACACACAAAAAAGATTATTTTAAGTTTCTTTTTTTTCAGGTTCTTTTTCTTTTTGTATTTTTGAGACAGGGTCCCATGTATCCCAGGCTGGCCTCAAACTTACTACATAGCCAAAGATGATCCTGATCCTCTGGCTTCCATATTGCAAATACTGGGTTAGATTACAGATGCATGCCACACACCTTGCTTTTATTTCTTTCTTTCTTTCTTTCTTCCTTTGAGAGAGGGTTTCCCTGTAGCCCCAACTGGAACTTGCTATGTAGACCAGATTGGCCTTGAACTCACAGAGACTCATCCCCTGCCTCTGCCTCTCAGAGTGCTGGGATTAAAGGTGTGCGCCCCCATGCCCAGCTCAAATTTCTTTAAGAGGGACTTTTTTGACTAATACAAATCCATGGGGGGTGTAAGAGAAGGTTCTGAAGTCAAAAAGAATCACAAAGAACCCTCAACAGCTTCATTATGGGGAGCAATGTTAGTATTATAATTGTGGAACACTGGCATGCAGATTTGAGGCTCTAAATATCATTTCCCACAAAAGCAATTATAAGTTGAGAACTTGGGAAGTTGGGCAAAAAATGTACATAATGATCCAGGGCATCATGCTGTGCCAAAAAAAGCAAGAATGCTCCCCAAACTATTGGGATCAGTCAAAAGGACCAAGAGGTCATGTGAAAGTGCTCCCATTGGCCAAAGGCAATCTGAGCATACCAACGAACAGTGATGAATAGGCTGCAGCACACTAGATACATACAAATCTATGTGTTCCTTATAATACTTTAAGTTTTTCATTGGTCAGCCTTGAAGACTGCTAGGGTACCACTCAAATATTATTCTGGTGGCTCATGACTGTAATCCTAACACTCAGGAGGCTGAGGCAAGAGGATCACTATGAGTTGGAAGCCAGCCTGGGCTACCTACTGAACTTGAGGCCAGGCTGGGCTATAGAATGAAACCCTGTCTCCAAAAACCAGAGACAGACAGACAGAGATAGAGAAAGAGGGACAGAGAGAAATACAGATAAATCTCCTTGAAAAAAGATCTTATTGTCTTTTTTTCTATATAACTATTTCAGGTAGGCAAATAGTTGAGAAAGATAAATTCTTTTTTGTAAAAGTATTCTAGCTGGTGAGACAGTTCAGTGGGTAAAAAGAATTCCCAGGAACTCTGTAGTGGAAGCGGAGAACAAACTCCTGCAAAGTTGTCCTCTGACCTCTACAAGTGCACTACGGCAAGCAACAGCCCCCACACATAAACACACATGCATAAACAAATAAAATAAATTTAAAAAATATAAAAGAAGAAGGAATAAGGCCAATGAGATGGCTCATCAGGTAAGGGTGCTTGCTGTCAAGTCCAAGAGCCTGAGTTCAATCCCCAGGACCCACTTGGCAGGAGGAGAGAACCAACTCCTACAAGTTGTCTTCTGACCACTACATGCTCACGGTGGCATGTGTGCATGTGCACACATGCACACAATAGATAAGGAATGAACTATTGGTAATTATCTTTTGGTATAATAAAACCATTAGGTGAAAGATAATGAAGAGTATGGGGACTCTTATAGTGTAGGACAAGAAGACATTATGGTCTCATGTGTGATACAGCAGGAAGTCCACATCAACACTCTACAGACTTGCCAACAGAACAAAACAGCTTAACCAACTTAGGAGAGAGAGAGAGAGAGAGAGAGAAACAGAGAGAAACAGAACACCAGAAAGCAATCGGAAAAATATGGAAATATAAAGGATGGGAAATTTACAGGTAAAATTGTTAGGTTTCATTAAACAAATGCATGCTGTAAGACAAGAAAGTGATGAGGACTATTATGGTCTGGAGACTAATCGAACAAATGCAGTGTGTGAATCTTATTTGGATCCTGAGAAAAGCAACCTAATTTCATGAAGGCATTTGTGACCTAAGGGTAAAAATTGGGTATTCGTATTGACACATCTTAGCAGTTGTGATAATGATGTGTGCCTATGTGGGAGGACAGCCTTTTCTACCCAAGGCTTCCTGCACCCGAAGCATATGCATCTAAGGAAAATTCTTTATTAGTGATATTTTGAAATTTTGTTTTTGCTTAGATTTTTGATTCACTATTATGTGTGTGTATGTGTGTGTGTATGATCTGTGTGTGTGGTTGGAGCACAACTTGCAGGAGTCTGTTCTCTCCTTTCAAGGGGGTTCCTGGGATTGAATTCATCTTTGCACTGCAAGAGTTTTTACCTGCTGAGCCATCTCACCAGCCCCAGATTTTTTTTTAAGTACAATATAAATGAAACACTTTGTGTTTGTTGTTGTTTACAGCAGGGTCTCATGCAGTCCAGGCTGGCCTTGAACAGAGCTCTCTATGTACCTGAGCTAAAGTTTGCCTTAAACTGATCTTCCTGCTTCCACCTCCCAAATGCTGGGAATACAGGCCTATGCCACTATGCTCAATTTAGAGTTCTTTTTTTTTGTCTTTTTGAGACAGGGTTTCTTGTACCCACAGCTGACCTGGAACTGGCTACATAGACCAGGCTGGCTTCGAATTCACAAAGATCCACCTACCTCTGTCTCTCAAGTGCTAGGAGGAAAGGCATGCACCACCACACCCTGCTCAATTCAGGGTTCTTTATACTACACAAATATCTAGAGTTAAATTTTCATACTATCTAATATCGAGTTACATTTTCCATTACAATTTTATTGTTTGTTTTAAAATTGAACGACATAGAATATAACAGTTAACAAGGAGAAAATCATTTGAAACATGTGTCCCTTGCCTCCCCCGCTTCGCCTCTCCCAGCACACCCCGCGCTCCACCCCCTCCGTGGACTCACCTGCCACCGTGGACGCGGCATGACTGGGGCTGGAAGGAAGCGGGCAGAGAGGCCTGGTCATCCTCGAAGGAGATGTGCTCGCCCAGGAAGTCGGGCCCTGAGAAAAGCTGAATCTGGAGACAGAGAGGGTGATGGAGTGGGGCTGGGGGAATGGCCAAGGGAGGCTGAGATGGGCGCCCCACATACACTGCGGAGCCGCCTCCTTACCTTCGAGACGAAGTGCAGATCGTGCTCCCCTACCTGAAGGGAGAGATCGGTTCTGAGATTCAAAGGGGAGGCCAGCCTCGAGCCTCAGACAATGAGCTTCAAAACCGTTGCGTGGACCCTGGTCCCCAGGGGTAGTAGCCCCTCCCCTTTCCTGATGCCCCGCCCCCAAGGGCTCCGGAAGCCCTTCCCACCCAGCGGTCCCTGACGTAAGTTCCTCCCTCCACCTAGGCCATGCCTGCCCACCTAGCCCACCTCCTAGCCACTCCCTCCGCCTAAGCCCTGCCCTCCAGGTCTGTCCTGGCCACGCCCACCCGCCAGGCCACGCCCACCGCGCCGGCACCTACCTGGACCACTGGCTGCAGGGAGCGGAGGGCGCTGTTGCCCGAGCCCCAGTCGTCGCAGTTGCGGTACACACCCTTCTCCAGGACGTGCTGCTCCCCGGAAAAGCCCACCTGCTCGTAGGCCACCCACCTGTAGGAAGGGCGTGGCTCGGGTCATCCAAGGCGGAGTCGACACCTCTCCTGGAACCGCCCCCGACCCGCCCAGTCCCGCCCCGGCCCGCTCTGTGCCGGTCAGGACCAGCGATTACTCACACGCCGCTGAGCACGTGGATGGCCTGTGTGCTGGGTCCGTGTTGCACTAGCTCCACGTCCGGCACTGCGGAGCTCACCTCCACACCGTGCCCCTCGAAGTCCATGGCCTCAAACAGCACCACGGCCGGGTCTCCGAAGTCCTGGGCCCCCGAGACAGTCAGGTTTCTCCCACACACAGATAAACCCATGGGAGTGCCCAGACCTCAGGGAAGTAGCCCACCCAGGGAAATAGGGATGAGGGGCCTGTGTGTCTTGAGGAAGAGTCGCAGAAAGGAGATACTAGCCCTTGGGGGCACCCTGCCAGGGAGAACAGGCAAAGGAGAGGGAAGTTGGGTTGTGGCCAGACAGAATAGCCCAGTTGCTCTTGCTCACCGTCCGGATGACCCGCAGGGAGGTCAGCAACTCATCATAACCTCCCCAGTGTGACCAATCAGCATATTCGCCTTCTTCCAGCAGGTACTGGTGGCCCCGGAAGCCCTCCTTCTCGTAGCCCACCCAGCTGGGGGCAAGAGGAAAATTGAGCCATAGGATGTCCACCGATGAGACCATTAACCCACCCCCAGGCAGCCTAGGTTACTCTCTACTCCCAAAGGTAAAAGCCAGTAGGGACAAGGGGGTAGAAGGAATTGCCCTGAGTTCTCACCAGCCCCCAAGAATTTGCAGGGACCCCACAGAGGCCAGCTGGGGACTCTGGCTGTCCTCTGGCTGCTGAAGGTTGTAGATGTCTCTGCTCACTTCCCAGCTCCGGCCCTGAAAGCCGGGGGCCTCATACACCACAGCCTGTGGGAAGGGGCACCAGGTTGATAGATATCATCTGAACCCAGACACAGCCAGCCAGTCTAGGAATGGCTCTATCCAGCATCAGCCCAGAACTGCCTCCCTCACCAAGACCCCCCACTTTCTCTTTGAACCTTATGTCTTGTTCACTCTGACCTGGTCCTCCCACCTCAAAGCCAGTACCCAGTGAGTACATCAGGCCTGCTCTCCCCGGCCCAGCTTCTGCCACACAGGGCCCTTATCTCCTGTCCAGGCCACAATAATCCCCACTTTGACACAGCAAACACCCTCTCTGACCCCAAGTTCAGCCCTTACCTTGGGTTCCCCAGATTTCTCCACACTTGGGCAGCCCTGCAGAGGAGACATGGCTGAGACACCAGCCCATAGGTGGCAGAAGACAGGGGACCTAGGATTTTCTTGCTCTTAAGAGCCTTAAAAAAATGACTGCCCATATCCTCCCTCTGTCCGACATCTCAGGCTAATCCTCCCTCTCCTCTACTTCAATTTCCAATAGGAGCTCTGGGGTATTAAGTCTCCAAGGAGTGTTCTATTCTTATTCCATCCTTTCCTAGCCACAGATTGCAAGGGCCACCCTACCTGGCACCAGGAAGTGCCTGTGGGCATCCCCTGCTCCTTACCAATCTCATAGGTTTCAGAGAACCCACACTAGGGTTTGATGTACCCCAGGCCTCAAATGTGGGGTACTCTCCAGGCTCTAGGATGGAGGGAGTGCCTTCAAAGAATGGTTTGGGGTACAGCAGCCACCTGGGGGAAAACAGAGAAGCTGCTGATCTCCCAGCCCCAAGGGTCACAGCCCCAAGGTGACTGATGGAATAGGACAGCCAGCTCATCACAACGGAGGTGTCTCCTCCTCCAGGAAGGCTTCTATGACTGCCCCCACTCCCCACTCCACATATCCAGCTGGTTTGGTGCTTTAGCATACTCTTGCAACTCTTGCTTGTGCTCCCCTATCCTAGAACTCTAGATGCTATTATTTTTCTGTTTACCTGCCTATCCCCACCTGTAGACTGAAGCTTTTGTTATTATTGTTGTTTGGTTTGGTTTGGTTTGAGAGGCTGGCCTTGAACTCTCAATTCTCCTGTCTCAGTCTCCTGAGTTCTGGGATTACAGTCATGCAAACTGAACACTTTTGAGGACAGGAATTATGTGTCCTGTCACCTCTGTGTTTCCAGCATGCAGCACAGTTAATGTCAAATGAAGGGATTTCGGATTGCAGACTCACAATCCTGCAGAGACAGTGGCAGATGCCACCCGAAGGGGTCTCTCCAGACCCTGGGAGTCATTCAAGGCCTCTGTTAGCTTCACTGGCTCGCCCTTGAAGCCCTCCTCGGAAAACAGGCTGATCCCGGGGGTGCAGTAGTCCTATGGAAGGAGAACCGAGGATATTCAAGTGCAAACTGGAGACAACCCTGCTCCACCTACTTCCCCAGGTCCTCCAATCAAGTTGTCTCCAGGGGGCTTCTGGGAAAACCCATCTGGCTGTCTCCTCAGAATCCCAAGGGGGAACTGGAGTGCTGTCTATGACTTCCTGCCCAGTAGTTGGGGCAAGATGGAGAGCCACTTCCAGTAGTCCACCTTGATACACAGTTCCTATTTTGTTTTTAAGACAAGGTCTCATGTAACCCAGGCTAGCCTTGAGCCTATGTAGCCAAGGCTGAGTGTAAACTTTTTTTTTATTTAAATTAGATTAATTGGGGAGGGGGAGCACAGATATACCATAGCATGTGTTTGTAGGTCAGAGGACAACTTACAGGAGTTGGTTCTCACCATGTAGGTCCCAGAGATTGAAGTTTTGTCAGGTCTGGCAGCAAGTGCCTTTACCCATTGAGTCATTTCCTTGGCCCATGACCTTGAACTTCTGATTCTCTAGCTTCCTCTGCCTAAATGCCGGGATTATAGGTATGTGCCACCATATCTGGTTTTGTGTGGTGCTGGGGATGGAACCTCGGACTCTGTGCTTGTTAGGTACAACTGAGCTATTCCCCAGTCTCTCCACCACTCACACCCAGACTGGCTGGTGTATGCATGTCATCCCAAGCACCAGCAGGTTTTCTCTAAATTCTGGGTGTTTCTTCCTCATTAGGACCATTTTCATTTGCTCACTCATTCATCAGATTATGAACCATGTACCACTTGCAAGACACTGTGTTAAGGTCACATTTAACCCCACCCCAATTAGCCCGCCCCCCTCCCCCAAGAGATTCTCTAGACATTTTCAGATAGGAAAGTGAAGCTCAGTGAAGTTGAGCAACTTGCCCAAGGTCACACAGCTTGTAGGTAACACAGCCAAGAACAGAGAAGAGTAGCTTTTGTTTAGTATCGCAACCAGAACCTCCCACACGACTGGTACACAGTAAGTGCCCACTCAGTGCTGAATGAATCAAGTGATTCCACAACTGTCTAACCGCAAAGCTCTTGTTTTTCTCTTGTATCTCATGCCCTCCCACACAAGGATGAATTTACTGCGAGTATCTCACAATAAACTCTCCACAAATGTGTATGCCAGGAGAGCCTTTGGAAACCGCCCTTACCACCTCAGCCCTAACCCTCACTCAGGCTCCTTGACTCTGGGTCCTCATTATCCTTGCCAGGAGATAACAACTGCTATGGAGTCAGGGATGCATCTTCTCATTAAAAACAAGCATCAGGGGCTGGAGAGCTGGCTCAGTGGTTAAGAGCACTGGCTGCTCTTGCAGAGGACCTGGGTTCAATTCCCAACACCCACATGGTAGCTAACAAACATCCATAACTCGAGTTTCAGGGCATCTGACATCCTCTTCTGATTTCCTCAGGCATTACACAACATGGGTGCACTTACATGTAGGCAATGCAATCATACACACACACACACACACACACACACACACACACACATACACACATGCACACATACACATAAAATCATCAGAGCTAGGTGTGGTGGCACACACCTGTAATCCCCACACTCAGGAGGCATGGGCAGGCAGGTTTCTGTGAGATGGAGGCCAACCTGATGTACATAGTGAGTTCCAGGCCAGTTGGGGCTACAGGGAGACCCTGTCTCAAAAAGACCAAAAAAATGAATAAAAATAAAAATAAATAAAAACAACCATCAGGGTATGATGGCTCATGCCTATAACCCTAGCACTTGGGAGGTGAAGGTCGAAGAATCAGGAGTTCAAGGCCAGAGTCAGCTATGTGGTGAGTTTGAGGACAGTTTGGATTATATAAGACCCTGTCCCCAAAAAAAAGGAAGGAAAGAAAAAAAGAAGAGAAGAGAAAAGCCCCTAAGGCATGGTGGCTCACACCTGTAGGCTAAGCACATCGGAGGCTGAAGCAAGAAGTTTGATGCAAGGCCAAGGCTAGCCTGGGCTACATGATAAGCTCTAGATCAGCCTGAGCTCAGTGTGAGACCCTGTCACAAAACAAAACAAAAACCCTTAAAGAAACCTCCAAAGGGCTGAAGAGATGACTCAGCAGTCAAGAACACTGGCTGTTCTTGTAGAAGACCTGGGTTCGAATCCCAGTACCCATATGGCAGAAAACACCTGTCTGTAACTCCAGTTCCAGGGGATCTGGCAGCCTCTTCTGTCCTCTGCAGGCATTGCATGACACGGGTGCACTTACCTACATGCAGGCAATACATGCATACACATAAAATAAAAATAATAAATATATATAATAAAATATTTTTTATAAAAGGAAACCTCCAAAGGCCTGATGGGTCCTGTTTCCAGCCACTACTCTGTATCTACCTAGGGATCAATACATTTTATCATGGTCCATAGCAGTAGCCTATAAAGCTGTGCTAGGAACATAATGCTGTCCTTTACTGATTTACAAATATGAAGTTATATTGACTTCAAACCACACATCTATCTCTCAAAAATTAGAAGTGCTCTAGTCAGATGTGGTGACACATACGTGTCATCATCCCAGCACTTGGGCGGTTTACTTGGGAGGACTGTATAGCTTGAGGCCAGTCTGGGCTATTTGATCTAAAATTCTGTCTCAAAAACTTAGAGCCATCTATGGACTCAAAATCACATTCCTTCTGGTCTCCTGTCTTTTCTCCTCTAAGAGGCCAGGGAGTTTCATGTCTCCAGTATGGTCTATTGCTCTTAGAACAAGCCTGCCCTCAGAGTCCAGCTGGCTACGTATCTTTCAAGGAACCCCCTGCCCAGATGCTGGGCACACAGTAGCCACAGAGTGTCTGTGGGGCCAGTGAGATGACTCAGCAGGTAAAGGTGCCTGTCAGGAGGCCTGACCATCTGAGTTTCATCTCCAGGACCCACATAGAAGAAGGAGAGAACCAACTCCTGAAAGTTGTCTTTTGACTTCCTAATTCATTCTGTAGCACACACAAATAATAGATGAAAGAAAGAAGAAAGAAAGAAAGAAAGAAAGAAAGAAAGAAAGAAAGAAAGAAAGAAAGAAAGAAAGAAAGAAAGAAAGAAAGAAAGAGAGAGGGGGGGGAGGGAGGGAGGGAGGGAGGGAGGAGAGAGAAAGAAAGTAATAAAGTAATCAAAATTTTAATTAAAAATAAAAAAGAGTAACCCAAGTTTTTAATCCCAGCACTCAGGAGGCAGAGGCAGGCAGATCTCTGTGAGATCTCAGCCACCCTGTTCTACATATTGAGTTCTAGACTAGCTGAGGCTACAGAGAGAGGGAGGATGGAGAGGAAGGAGAAGGAGAGAGTGTCTGTGAACAAGCACCATAGCACCTTGCCCTGAGTGGTGGGCAACCCCAGCCCGGCTCTGCCACTCTGACCTCATTCTGTTGTGGTAGCAGCTCACACATTCCCAGCCTGCTTACCAGGGCTCAGCCCCCACCTAGCACTGCCTTCTCATCAGGATATACAATCCCAAGGGTCCTCTTTTCTCTCCCAGTGCCTCCAAGCTCAGAAACCTAGAGGTCAGTCCATAATGACCCCCTTCTGCCCTCCACCCCATTGCCCTCAGAGAGCTTGCCACTCTAGACAGCTGAGGCTGTTACCCTTTCAGCCCACTCACCTGCACAACCCTCCTCAGGGAGCCGATGCCTTGAGGACTCCATGTTGACACCAAGGCTCTGAGTTCCACATCTCCTTCAGGCAGGACCAGCTTCTGGCCCTGGAACTCTGGCTGTTCATATATCATCCAGCTGTGGACCCAGAGACCCCAGGGTCACATGTAGAGAGGAAGTTGCACCAAGTCTCTGAGTAGCTTATGGGGTCTCTGCCAAGCTCACTACTGTCCTCACCCCCAGGTTCATAGCCAGGACCCCCACCAGGCACTCCCCACTCACCAGCCTCGTACCACCCTTATGGAGGTGACAGAGGCCCAGCCTGAGGCATCAGCAGTGTCTCTCCAGACCTCCCTGCTGCTGCCCTGACATCCAGGCTCCGAGAAGAGGATCACCTAAGGCACAGCAGGTGTCCTCAGGTCCTGTTCCCAGGTCCTGCCTCCTGCCAGCCCCCACTTGCCCCCATGCCTCTACCTTGCCAGGCCTGGTGTTCAACTTGCCCTGGGTCTTCAGTGCTGGGCTCTGCAACAGAGGGGGTGATTGGAAGTCCTATGGGATCGCCTCCTCACTGCCTCCCCACATTGTCATTCTAAGTATCCCACATCCCTGCCCCCATCACCAGCCTCTACCCCTAAAGAGCCAGCCCATGAGGATGCTACCCATGGTTCCCGCAGCCTCATCACCCAGTCCCAGGAGCTGGGAGACTATTATTCTCCTTCCCTCATCCTCCAGGCTGTGAGAGCCAACATGTCCTTGGGAATCCATAGTACAAATCTCGCATTGTACTGATAGGGAAACTGATGCCCAGAAAGATGTGGACCCAAGCCTCCTGCCTCCTGGGACTTGGCCTCCCTAAACCACTCTCCTCACATCACTCAAACCAGAACCCAGGGGAGACCAAATACCCTTGCCCAAGACCTCACTCACCCACCCCTCCAGGGGCTGGGTACGTGCTGTTTTCTCTGGAGGTGGCCTTCCACTGTAGAGCAGGGGCAATTGTCCTGGTACCTTCCTGACCCCTGGTGCCACATGGGGTGACAACGCAGATAATTTTGTTCCCAGAGGCTCCAGGGCAGGGGCATCCTTGTTGGCAGGTACCAGATTGCCAAAGAGAAGGCTGCCTCCCAGGCGGGAAGTGGGTCGGCTACTGGATTGTAGTTCTGGGCCTTGCTCTGAGAGGGAGCCCTTGGCACCTGCTACATGTCTTTTCATCATCTCCAGAGGAGAACAAGAGACTTGGACAGGCCTGGCAGGGCTGGGGTTCCAGGAGGGCCTGGGCCCTGCCTTCTCTTGCCTGCGCTGAAGTTTCTCATCATCACTTAGGTAAGGGTTCTCTAGCTCCTCCTCATCCTCATCCTCATCCTCCTCGTCCTCCTTTTCCAATGTGGGTTGCTCCTGAGGGCTGGGTCCTGGCACCCATGGACCTAGCTGGTCCTCCTCAATGGCAGGCAGTGTGGCATACATAGTCAAGTAGGAGGAGCGGGGAGCTCGGGGCAACCGGTGGGTACGGAGTATCTCAGGGGGCTCCATGCTCCGCAAGGTATCCAGGAAAATCTCCAGGTCAGCTGTCAGGGCTGCTTCATCCTCCTCCCTTGATGGCTCTGTGGACACCTTCCCTTCAGCAGAGTGTGGAACAAGATGGGACTCTGTGCTGACCTCTGCTTCCATTGGGGCAGGAGAGCCTTCTGGACTGGGAGATCCCTTGACCTCTGAGGAGGATGGGACAAGGGCCATGGCAGGGCTCTGGACACCCTCCTTTGGGGCAGATGATGAGACGGGGGTCCCTTCAGAACCCTGGACAGCCTCATCCTGCTCAGGGGTCATGGGAGGTGGGGCAGCAGGGCCTTGAACAGTTTCTTTCCAGGGAAGGGAAGGGGAAGGACTTGCTTCCATGACCTGGACAACATTAGTTGGCTTGGAGGATGGGAGAGCAGCAGCACCAGGGCCCTGCACAACTTCTTTTGGGGTGTGGGATGGATGGGCAGAAACACTAGGGCCTGGCAGTGCCTCTTTCTGAGTAAGGGAAGACATGGGCACAGTTTCAGAGTCCTGAACAAACTTATTCTTTGGGGAGGCAGGAGCAGAGAGGCCTTCTGGGCTGGCAACAGCCTTCTTCCTTACAGAGGATGAACCAGGAGGCTGTCCAGGTACTGTAACCTCGCTCCTGACCATGGGTGGGATGGGGGCCGAATGGAGATCAGCCAACCCCTCTCTTTTCACAGGAGACAGGACATGGGGAGTGGGCTGGGCTCTGGGGTATATAGGTACCACAGGCTGCTCTGGGGAATGGGCCAGGGAGGAGGCATGAGTCTGGGACTTAGGAGAGGAGGGTGCTGGTGTTTGGCTCTGAGAAGTCTGGTTGGGGAGCAGAATAGGGCTGGAGGCTCCCTGCATCCTTTGAGATTCCCCAGCCTTGCCATCTGGGATTCTGCCTTGGTCTGGGGCTGGGAGGGCCGAAGAGACATCCAAGTTCTGAGGTGGGTGAGCAACTGCTGGGGTGCCTGCTGGGGCCAGGGCTGAGTTGTCCTTTGGCTCAGCTGCACTGGTCTCAAGTAGCCGTCCCAGGGTTGTTCCCATTGTGCCACCCTGGCCAAGGTTCCTTGTGGGCCTTGGGATTCGGCTGGTAGGGGGACTGCGCTCTGATGGCACCAGGCTACTCAGCAGTTCTAGGGCCTGGCTGCGGCTGGGTGAGCCTTCAGTTCCGGGTCTCACCACCATTGCCCTGACTGTGCGGGTCACATTGCGGCCCCTTGGCAGGGCCTCTCCAGGTACTGTTGGCCCCATGGTCACAGAGCTGCTCACTTGGCGGTCCACATGCCCTCCTACCACAGTAGTGGTGGTGGTCCGCACAGTGCGTGTCACTCGCCACTCCTCCTGGTTCCTGGAACCCCCACTGGTGACACCCACACTGGGGTGGGGACTTGGCTCACGTGGTCCAGGTAAGGGCACCAATAACTCAGTCCTGGCCATGGCTCCCATGCCTGGTGGTTCAGTCCTGGGAGCCTGGAGGCCACCATCACTCCAGTCCACAGCCTCCTTCAGCCTCACCACTGGCCTTTTCTCCTTGGGAGCTGGAGTGTACTTCTTGGAAAATATAGGCCCATGACTCTGAAAGTGTGTGGATTTAGGCTTATTCCCCAGGCCCTGGTAATTCACAGTCTCTTCTTCCTTTGTGACAAAACCATTGACTTCTTGTCGGAAGCTGTGCTCACACATCTCCTCCCGTGGATCTTCTATCTGAGCACTTGACACCAGGGACACCTTGTGAAAACGGTGTCTGGTCTCTTCCTGGGCAGGAGGTCGTTGCCGCCATGTCAGTGTGGCACTTACCACTCGGGCCTCAGCCCGGGCCGAGGGCCCAGCTGTCTCCTCCATGTTGGGCCCCAGCAACCTGTCCTGAGATGTCCTTGTCACTCTGTGGTCTGGCTCCCTGCAGATGGCAGAAGGGAAGAAAAGAGATGAGCAACAGGGACCAAAACGCAAAACAACTACCCTGCCCAGGCTAGGCTGAGTAACCTCAAGCTAGTCATTTGACCTTTTGGCCTTTGTTTTCTCATCTATAAAATGAGTGTGAGACTCTCAGCTCTGACTGAAATCATCAGAGCCCCTTACCTGCTCATCTCCCCCTTCCAAGTGATTCCTTCTATTGAGATCCTACAGAGGGAAGCCTCGGCCCAGGGAGCCCTGGATCTAGTCCTCCAAGAGCCTCCACAGCTAAAAAATAGGAAACAAACCCTCTCAAACTTTGCTCTGCTCCTGCCCTGTCCCTTCAAAGGGAAGCTGGGGAAAAAATGAGCTTTGACTTCAGACAAAGCTGGGTACCAGGTCTGTTAACCACTAACTGAATGTCCTTGGGCAGGTCACTTCTCCAACCATAGATCTGGAGGACGGAGTTTGCACTTCACAGAATTCGTCAGGATCCAGTAGGAGAGAAAGAACACAAACTCACTTTATAAACTAAATTACTGGCTCATGAACTTCCCAGTGTCCCCTTGTGACTATGTATCTGTGGGTCTCAGTGGAGCCCTTACACTCTGGGCTTTACAATGCACTTCCCCTCAAATTTCTCTCCTCTGGAACCTTTCTTTCCCCCTGTACAGATAAGGAAATTGAGGGTCTGAGAGAAGAGGAATGTCTGACCCAGAGTCATGCAGCCATGAAAGTCCACACTGGGGGTTGAATGTGCATCTTCTGAATCCAGGCCCCAGCATCTCCTCTCCTACCTACTAGGCCAAGGCTCAGGGCACAGCTCCCTCCTCCCATGGTCCTCTCTAGCATAGCACATCTCCCCTCACTTCCTAAGAGGTGGGCCCTGAGTCTTATTTCATTCTTTCTCTTTTTGCAATGCTGGAGATCAAACCCAGGACTTCATGAATGCTAGGCAAACACACTGTCACTGAGCCACACTCACAATCCTCTTATTTCTGACTCTGGGTCTCTATGGCTTTCTTTACTAAATGAGGGTTGTGAATAAAACCTGTGGAAGCAAGAATCTGGCCCTGGGAATTTCAGTTTTAAATCTTATTTATTTATTATTTTAATTTTATATGTATGAGTATATGACCTGCATGTGGGTAGGAGCACCCGTGTTGTGTAATGCCCATGGAGGTCAAAGAGGCGTCGAATCCCCTGGAACTGGAGTTAAGGATGGTTGTTAGCCACCATGTGAGTGCTGGAAACCGAACCCTGGTCTTCTGCAAGAGTAGTCAATACTCTTAACCACTGGGCCATCTCTCCAGACCCCAAATATAAATATCAACATTAATATTTATTGAATATCTATTCATCCTAAGTACAGTTAATCACGATCAGTTTGTTAATTTCATGAATATTTATGCACAGACTCTTGTTCCAGGCTTTGAGTTTTTCGTGCCAGGAATCAAACCCCAGTCGTCTGCAAGAGCAGCCAGTGCTCTTAACCACTGAACTCTCTCTCCAGCCCCTTTTTAATGTTTTTTGAGACGAGGTCTCCCTGTAGCCCTAGCTGGCGTGTAACTCTCTTTGTAGACCAGGCTGGCTTACAACTGCCAGGGACCTGACGTTTCTGGCCTCCATGGGCACCTGCACTAATGTGCACATACCCACACACAGACACATAAGTAAAAGTTATAAAATAAAAATAAATCTTTTTTATAAAGAATAAGCCAAGCCAGGTGTGGTAGCACACACCTCTGGTCCCAGCACTCAGGAGGCAGAGGAAGGCAGATTAAATGAGTAACCTGTTGCTAAATTATAAACAAACATCCCTATTTTGTCAATGAGATTTCAAAGTTTCAAAGAGATTAAAAAGCTTGTTCAGAGTCACACTTTAGCCCCCTAAATGCTTAACCACATTCCAAACTCCCCAAAATGTTTATCTGGTAAACTTTAACTCTCTATGCAGACCAGGCTGGCCTGTGTGATCAGCCTGCTTCTGTCTCTGCAGCGCTAGGATCAAAGGTGTACGCCACCGCTCCCAACTTTTTAAAAAATGTTTTGAGGCAGTATCTTGCTATGTAGTCCTGGCTGGCGTGATACTAGTTACACAGCTCAGGTTAGCCTACAATTTATGGCCATCTTTGTTCCTCACCTTCCCAAATACTGGGATTACAGGTGTGCACTACTATGCCTGGCTGGTTTCTTTTTAGGTTTGTTTATTTTTAAGACAGAGTCTTATATAGCCCAGTGTGGCCTCCACCTCCCTATGTAGCCAAGGAGGATCTTGAACTGTTTTTTTTGGGGGGGGGAGGGTCTTTTTGAGACAGGGTCTCCCTGTAGCTCCAGCTGTCCTAGAACTACTATGTAGACCAGGCTGGCCTTGAACTCAGAGATCCACCTGCCTCTGCCTCCCAAGTGCTGGGACCACAGGTGTGCATCGCCATGCCCAGCTTTGAACTAGTTTTTTTTTTTTTTTTAATTACATTTAGTGTGTGTGCGTGTGCAGGCGTGTGTGTGTGTGTGTGTGTGTGTGTGTGTGTGTGTGTGTGTACGTGTGTGTGTGTACATGCCACAACAAGAATGAAGAGGTCAGAGGACAATTTGTAGGAGTTGGTTGTGTCCTTCCACCATGAGGGCTGAAGGATTGTCAGGCTTGGTGGCAGACTGTGACCTTGAACTTCACATCCTCCTGCATCTGCCTCCTAAATAGTAGGGTTACAGGTATGGACCACTACACCTGGGTTATGCTGTGCTAGGGATGAAATCCAGGGCTTCATGCATGCTAGGCAAGCACTCTATCAACTGAGCTACATCCCCAGCCCTAGGGTTCACCTTTAGAGGGGCCCACCTAAGGCCCTGGAGGGGCCATCTACCCGCATCTACTTATCTCCAGGTAGGACCATGACAAGACTAATTTTGGACCTGAAGATCCCAAAGAGGTCTGCCTGCACATCCAGCCCATCTTCCAGTCTGTACTTCCTCTCTATGAACTAGCCCCCAGAGACTGCACCCAGAAGAAAAGGGCCCAACGCCCCAATTCTCCTCCCCCATCTCCCTTCATGAGAAGCTCAATGAACCCAGAACTTTGACCTGCTCTGCAGCCCCAGCAGTGAGTCAGGTTTTATGAGGGACAGAGATGAAAGGGGCTGAGGCCCAGGGAAGCCTGACCCGACTCCAGGACCACTGGTGACTACCAAGGATCTGGGACACCACCTGCAGGGTCCCTGCTTATGAATGGGCATGGGAAGGCCTCGATGACCCCCAACCCTTCCTCAGCCAGGGTGTGCTGAGAACTGACACAGCTAGACACCCTGGGCCTAGCCTCAGCTCCTCACAATACAGCCCAGCCCCTGCCATCCTCACTGCAGTGTTGCCCTTCTTCTACACACCTGTTTGCCTCGCTGGGATACCCCCACAAAGCTTTGCCCCTCACTCAGCACCTCATAAGTCCCTGTTTCCTCACAGAGTTCTCACTCTATTTCTGAGTAACAACTGCTACCTTCATTCCCCCAAATCCCTTGTTGCTGATAGCAAGTGGCAAAGCATGAGTTCTAATCCATTCATTCACTCAGTCACTCATTCAATCCTAATTAGCGAGGCAAAGGACAAGGCTCTGGCCAGACTTACCCAAAGCCAGCTCTGTTATAAAGGTAATAACCCAGGAGTCCACAGTTAAATAACCAGATGTTTCAAAAGTCCCATGGGCTTTGGCAAAGCCACAGAAAAACAGTTCAAAGGAAGCTCAGATACTGGGAGTCCTCTCAGTAATCACACCTCCATGCCTTCCTCAGCCCAGCCCAACCCTGAGACAACACCCCTCCTGGCCTCTCATTCCTCAGGCATGTGGTCACAGCTTCTATCGGCATTCTTCGAGGGACAGGGAGGTCACCTCTTGATAGTTCACCTGCCCCATCCCTGGACAGTCATGACTGCTAGAATGCTTTTCAGATGTGTTGGAATGTGCCTGCCTATAGCTTCCCCCTTCTTCTTTGTCTTTGTTTTGGAGACACCCCAGTCATACAGCTACCTCCCCTGGGCAAACGGGAGTGTCCACTCTCAGAACCCTCTCTTCCTGAGGGCCCCAGTCTAGAAGTGGATTTGCTGGCAAGGTGACCTGTGACCTCCAAACAAGGTGTGTAGGGTTGGGAAGGGAGAGTCTGAGAAGGGGTGGGGGGAGTGTGGGAAAAGTCTCATCTAACCCAACAAGTCCTAGGATTCTCCCTGCTTACCTGTGAGTCACCCCCAAACTAGGCCAAACCAGTCCACAGGCCCACATGCTGGCAAGCACATGCTATATCACACAAGCATTCGCAGAGTCAAAGACCCACAGTGTCACACAGCACAAAAAAATGTACAGGCACACACCTAGACAAACATAGCCAGGGAAACGTGCCACCACACACATACAGCACCCATCAAGAGATGTAAATACACAAATAAATAACCTGAGGCATACAGGTATACAAGCCACATGCTGCACCATGAAACATATAGGCACTGAGACACACATGTATACACATCCCCAGCACACACACACCCGTGTGTTGAGTTCACAGCCACCAGCTGCACTTGAACATGGATACATGTATAACTTATACATTCTTACTTGCAGCCCAAGCTGTACCTCATCTCTTTCCCACATTTTTCAATCCTGCCTAGAGAACCCTCCATCAGAAAGTGGGTATAGAAAGATTGTGTCCCTGGGGGGGGGGGGTCACTTTCCTTCCTCTCTAAGTGAAGCCTAGATTCCAAAATCAGTATTTACCTACTTGGGTTCCAAAAAGACAGAACCCAGTGTCCCCCCAGCTCACCCTACTGCTCTTTCTTTCCCTGCCTCTCTCTAAGACTAACTGGCTCCCCACTCCCTGACTATAGGCAGGCAGTCTTCCCACGCTGGGGCACCCTGGCAGCTCTCAGGGTCAGTCTGGAGGCCCTAGATTCCCCTCCCTAGACATAAAACCATAGACACTGACTCCTGCCCAGAGGACCTGGGCTTCCCTGCCTTGGCTTTTGCTAACAGCTCTCTCAGATCCAGACTCTCAGACCCTGGTTCCCACACAGCAACCACACACATCCCTCATCTGCACAGGGCCAAAGAAGCTTCTTAGCAAGGCAGAAGGGAAAATGGTCATTGAATAAGCTGATAACTGAAACTGGGTTCCAATGCTGAGTCCTTCAGGGTTTGGGCAAGTGACTTAACTTTGCTGTGCTTAGTTCCCAGCTCTAATTTTGCTGGTGTTGATGGAGGGATTAGTTCCTACTTCTCAAGACTGTGAGGATTAAATAAAATTATGCTTAGAAAACAAATCAACCATATATGACACCCAATGCCATTATTAGTAGGAGCTTCTCAAACACCCCCTGCCTCTGGAGGCCTAGAGCTCTTCTAGTGGTCCCAGCAAGGTCCCAAGTCTTCCCATTTCAGTGAATTTCGAGGGATCCACACTTCCCCCTGGAGCCCAACAGGCCAATTTAGGAGACTCATTTTAACACAAATAAAAACCCAGGTTTGAGAATCTCGTCGCCTCTTCCCGTGGCCGCCAACACAGAGCCAGGTAGGATAATTACCATTGTCACTGCCATGTAATTAATAAGTAACCCTGCTATTTTGGCAGCCCAGTTCTCTGGAGTTCAAAGCATGCTCCTATAGCCCTCCTTCTTCCTCATCTCTGACTACCATGACCACCCAACAAAGCAAGGCCCAGAGCAGTTAAGTAGTTAAGTAACTTGTGCCAGGACACCCAGCACCTTGACTGTGTGCTTATTCCCAGGCCTCCTGAACAGAGCTGGGGAGGAGTTGCTGAGAGGAAGAGTGCTCTTACCCTGACTTGCCCATCCTCTCCATGACAAGATTTCCCCTCCTCTAAGTGGAAAACAGCCCTGGGTTTTAGGAGATAGCTGGGAGGTAAAGGGAGGGAGACGCAGGACAGGGGCAGGGTGGCAGAGTTAGCTCACACTCAGTGTGCCTAATGAATGGAGCCTCAAGCTGGAAAAAGCCCAGGCAGGCACAAAAGAGAGAGACCAAAGTGGGAGTCACCACACCAGGCTCCCCTCCCACCATCACACTGCACAGGCACCCATGGTTTACTCACCGGTTGTACGGGGATCCAGGTTCCCAGCCCACTTGGAGCTCCTGCGGCTGGGTCTTGCTTCCCTGATGCTGTGGGACTGTCAGCCCGGGCTCCCTGCGAGAGTTGATCTGATGCCCGGTGATGGGGCGGAGCCCCTGGGGAGGTTCCTGCCAGCCCCTGGATTCCTCAGGGCCACAGGGGTGGGGAGCTGGTCGGGCCGGTTCCTTGCCTTCTTCCCCAGATGCCTGGGCACACCCCTGCAGGGTGACAGTGATGTGGTAGCGGGTCTTTCTGACACAGGGACGAATGTGTAGGGTCTGGGCTGGCTCTGGGGTGTCAGGTTTGCCCTTTGCCCCTGCTGCTGTGGGTAAGGACAGTGGGCGGGGCAGCAGGAGTGAGTCTTCCAGGTTGCTAGGTAGCTCAGGCTTCAGCAGAACATCTGGGGCACTGTGTTGGAGGCCATGGCAGGTGTAGCCTGGGGACCCCTGTTTCAAACATGGAGGAGCAGGCCCTAGGCAGGAGGGATGCTTGGAACCAGGAATGACCTCTGCAGAGCCTGCTGGCACCAGACTCTCAGGCCCCACAGAGCCATAGCTGGCCAAGTCGCAGGCACTGCCCACGGCTGGCCTCTGTAGTCGTCCCAGGGGTTGAGTTGGTCCTTCTGAACCATGTAGTCGCTTCCGACTCCATAAACCACCATGGCTCCTGACCTGAAGGTCCCACTCTGAATGGCTTTGGGCTTGGACCTAGTGGAAAGTGATAGTAGGGACATGGTGACAGGGATATGATGTTAGCACCCCCACCCCCTACCTCCTGAACTGTAGGAACCTCTGGATATTCCTGGCTGCCCTCTTTGGCCCACAAGAAACCAAGCAAGACTCTCAGAGCTGGACAATGGGACAGGGCCCTTAGCAAGGTGCTTGCTCTCCCATCCTACACTAGAGGAAAGTAAAGCCCAGATACAACAGTGACAGGACTAGGGTCACACAGCAGGGCAATGAAGGCTCCCAATTCCCAGGTACCACACTGGGCCATGCTTGCCCTAGGCTGTGACCACAGCTTCCTCACAACTCTGATGCTGTTTTCCCATCGTCCTCAGCCCCTGGCCTTTTGGCATCAGCTAGCCCAGGGATTAGGAGATGTGTGGGCATACTTGCCTTAACTGCCCACTGCCTCTGCCTGCTCCCAGCCACCATAAAGCCTCCAGTCACTTCCTTTGCACCCTCCCATCCCCAAATTCCCACAGCACACCTGGGAGAAGGCATGTGGGTCGTAGAGATAAACCTGGACATGAATGAGGCAGGGGAGAGGGGTCCCCAGAGAGTGGGACAGCTGTCCTCCCTGGGTGTCAGCCTGGCTATAGGGACAAGGGAAACAGATTCAGGATCCCAGATTGGAATGGACACTGACCCTATACTACCAGTTTTCAGGGATGGACTTGTGTCCTTGGCAACAGAGGAGCCAAATCTGGGGACAAAATCCCACTTAGCAGAGGCCTTTGTTCCCATCAGCTTTAAGTTACTCATCTATGAAATAGATGTGGCCTCTCATTTCCCAGGGGATTGGATACTCCGTGTCCTGGAGGGACAGCAGACAGGATGAGCAGTGCGGGGGGGCTGCATGCTGCAAGGAGGCAACCTGGGTCTGGATTCCAGCTCTGCCACTTGCTAGTGGAGGCAGTCTACTCACAACTCAGCTTTCCAGTGTGTAAAATGGGTGTGCTCAAAGGAGCACCCGACTCTTATGGAGCTGCACAGATGGTCCGAGATAATCCACACAGAGTGCTAGAGCACTCAGTTAAACGCTACTAATAACTCATGGTAGTCAGGAGCAGAGAGGCCACTTGGAGGCCAGTGTCTGTCCTCCAGGGGAGAACCTCTGCCACTGCATGGTCCTTCTCCTGGCTCAGGTCCCCACTGCAGAGGGGTTTGAAACTGGTCAGAAGGTTAAGCCACAGGCCCCAGGATCACCTCTGCAAGGCCAGGCTAAGAAATGAGGAAAAGGAAGCAAGACTAGACAGAGGTCAAGGGCTCAAGGAGCAGGAGGCCCTAGAAACAGGCCTCGTTGGCTACATGCCTCCCCCAGTACACCAGGACTAGGAAGCACGCATTTACTGGGCATCCATGCCCCATGCTGGCCTCCTGCATCCATTGCTTCCTTTCTTCCCACAGCTCTGAGAGAGGCATTACTAACCCCCTTTGAGGTCTACGCAGAGCCACACAAGAGGGAGAACCCAAAGTCAGGGCTTTCTACCCTGCCCCCAGCCCCCAGAGTTCCCATACCTAGGATTTGTCCTACCTTTAGGCTGACATCACTGGTGCTGCCCTGGCCCTGAGCAAGGTCAGGACAGCTCTGGCCACCCCAGGGCCTGGGAAGGAAGCACAGAAGAAAGGAATGAGCAGCTTACACCAGTCTCAACACCAGTCACACAGACTGAGCCCGGTGGGCCCTGGCCCACATAATCTAGAGCCCACAGCTCAGCCAAAGGAGCCCCTCAGACCTTTGGAAAAGGTCTACCAGCAACCTTCTCTGCTTCCTTCACAAGCTCCTCACTTCACACAGACACACACA